CATCTTCCTGAGACGGCCAACTACCCCAAGGCGGTCTGTAGAATGGTCAAGACGGCCTACGATAGCCCCGCCAAGGATATAATATACCCGCCAAGATGGCCCCAGAGGCCACCAAGACGCCAAGACAATGCCCCAAGAGTCCCCAGACAGCCCAAGGAGGCCCCAGGGTCACTGCAACATCTTTCAATCTCTCTCACCCTGTGTTCCCCCCCTCGTTTTCCAAGTGGTTTTCCCCCGCCGCGCCCACCTCGTCCCCTGGAAGTCTCGACCTCTTCCTCGCGGCTGGTTTCTCATCCAGGGTTCTTCCTTTTTTGTTGACGGTGGCCCAGAGCCAGAAACCAACAAGAACCCGTCCTTCACAATTTTGGGGTGGAAGGGGGTCGTCGTCTGGCTTTCGGGTAATAGCTCGAGTCTTCGGCGGCTGTTCGGGACGATGCGGGCACCTCCACAAGGCTCTCGGCGAGGAGCAGATGTTAGCTGGAAAACCGCCGAGAACGTTCGAATTCCTCGAACCTCGAACCTCTCTCGCCCGTCTCAATACCCCCCACACTTTCCATCCGCCCTGATCTTGGGAGGGGGAGGGGGGTCTGAGAATCCGGGGCGTCCAAGAGACCGTCCAAGAGGGGGTCCGCAAATCATGGCCAGAGACATTCGCGCAGACAAGGAGGGGACCAAGGGACGCGTTAAGAGAAGAAGAGATGATCATGTAATCCGGGGAGATTTCATTGCCCCGGACATGATGCCCTCCCCGTCCGGTCATCACCCCCGTTTGGCCGCCCCCGAGGGGAGGGGGTAGGAGGAACCTTCGAGCCGATATGGGTTCCTCCTTCCTCCCAGGGTGGGTGGGGTCCACGCTCGAAACACCTCTGCACGTGCACCGCACCGTCGGCGCGTAAAAAGGCAGAGAAAACTCGCCTCCTTTCTCCATGTGCCTCACACTTGCTCTGCCGTTCGGTCGTCCTTGTTCTTTGTCTCTCTCTGTCTCGCTTGACCCTTTGGCTCTGCTCCACCCTCCCCCAGCACAGGCTGGGCCCAGGGCGCTCGAAAACATCGGGGCTCGTACCCCAGGTCACCCGACTTCGCGCATCGCGTCCCACGATGCGCCACGCGCGACTATCTCCGCCCCCTCGCACGGCCCCCGCTGGACACGGGCACCCGCTTCGGCCCAGACCCTGGCGCGCGAAGCGGGGCTAGCTTCGCGCCCCCGCGGGGGGGACAGCGCATCGCTCGACAATGTTAGAGCCCTCCTAGATGGGGTCCGAGTAGACGGGGTCGAAGAATCGCGCCGCATCGCCAATGCATCGCCGATACATCGGCGACGTCGGCGTGGGGAAACGCTGGCTCCACATCGAGCCGCATCGTCGATGCATCGGCGATGCGGCGCGACCCTCCGACCCCATCGACTCCGACTCCATCTGGGAGGCCCAGATCGAAGCGTCGAGGAGGTCGTCGTCTCTTCGGTCTGAGCCTCCTCCTCCTCCTCCTCCTCCTCCCCCTCCTTCTCTTCCTCCTCCTCCTCCTCCTCCTCCTCGTACTCCTCCTTCTCCTCCTTCTCCTCCTCCTCCTCCTGCTCCTCCTCCTCCTCCTCCACTCCTCCATTCCTCCATCCTCCTCCTCCTCCTCCTCCTCTCCTCCTCCTCCTCCTCCTCCCCCTCCTCCTCCTCCTCCTCCTCCTCCTCCTCCTCCTCCTCCTCCCCTCCCCTTCCCCCTCCCCCTCCTCCTCCTCCTCCCTCCTCCTCATCCTCCTCCTCCTCCTCCTCCTCCTCCTCAAGGAGGTGAGGAGGAGGAGCCTCGGCCACGCCGCCCGGAGCGGACGGCCTGCCCGGGCCCCGGGCGCCCGACCAGCAGGTTCTGAGCCGGCCCGGGCGCGGCACGCGCAGGGGCGCGCGGCGGTGGCACGCCAGCGGGCCGCGCCGAAGAGCCGCGCCGGACAGGTGTGCGGGGGTGCATGCATATCCACTGCTCCTCCTCCTCCTCCTCCTCCTCCTCCTCCTCCTCCCCCTCCTCCTCGCCATCCTCTTCCTCCTCCTCCTCCTCCTCCTCCTCCTCCTCCTCCTCCTCCTCCTCTACCTCGTCGTCCTCCTCCTCGACCTCCTCCTCCCCCTCCTCCTCGCCCTCCTCTTCCTCCTCCTCCTCCTCCTCATCCTCCTCCTCCTCCTCCTCTCTACCTCGTCGTCCTCCTCCTCGACCTCCTCCTCCTCCCCCTCCTCCTCACTCCTCGTCCTCCTCCTCCTCCTCTTCTCCTCCTCCTCCTCCTCCTCCTCCTCCTCCTCCTCCTCCTCGCCCTCCTCCTCCTCCTCCTCCTTCTCCTCCTCCTCCTCCTCCTTCTCCTCGTCCTCCTCCTCACCTTCCTGCCCAGGCAGTCCGACGGCAGACGGCGGGATAGGAAGTGCACCTCCACAGGGCGACGAGGTGCACACGTCCACTGCCCCCCTGGCCAGGCCCGTCCAGGGACCAGGAGCGCAGCGTACGCCCGCCTGCCTCGGTCAGGGAGGCACGTACACCGCTCGTGGACCCATGATGGGCCTGTGGATCTCTATAGATCTCGCCGCCCTGCTTGACACGACTGAAGCAGCGAAAAGGAAAGGGTCTTACGCGAGAAAGCAGAGCGACCTTACGCGTGGCCTACGCGGGCCGCAAGCGTGGCTCAACGCGCGGAACAGGGGGCGCTTGCGCGCGACCTTACGCGGGCAGCTCGTGCCAACATGTGCGCGCGAACGAACATGTTTTATTGTGCCGCTCATGATCTATCATCGTAACTTGGGAACTTGGGGTTGTGGCACTGTGGATCATGCAGCTTTTGGGTCAGGCCCAGCTCGGAAGGCTCAGCGAGCCGTGTCCACAAGTCGACCTTCACCACGACCCGCCGGAAAGTATCTCGACAGACTCTCGCGGGGTCTGTCCTCCAATCGCAGAGGCAAGCGCTGAGCACGCGTAATTTTTAGCACTGCGATGTGGCGGAAATCTGGAAAATCCTCATCCTTCTGGGGCTGGGCCCAAAAGCTTCGGCCCCCGATTGTGAAGGCGTCTCACAAAAAAAAAACAAAGCAAATGTACCCCACCACCACCACCACCTGGCTCCCCCCCCCGCTGAGGAGGGGCCAGGTGCGGGTGGGGGGTCTCTCTCTTGCTCCCCTGAGGAAGGTCCACGAGGAGAAGCGCACATAGCACATAGCACCTGGAGCCTGTTCTTTTTTTTTATCCGCGATAGCGGGCGTCATCGGGGGGGGGGGGATGGGGTTTGGCCCCCCCCGATCACATCACGGCGGGTATTGGCCTCCCGGAGCATTTTTCAACCCCCCGGGCCCTCGGGAGGAGGAAGATAACGGGAGAGGGAGCAGAGGAGGAAGAGGGGATTGAGGAATTCCTGGAAACATCTTGAGATTCAGCTGCGGCTGCTGCTGCTCTTTCTCCTCCTCCTCCTCCTCCTCCTCCTCCTCCTCCTCCTCCTCCTCCTCCTCCTCCTCCCCCTCTCCCTTCTTCCCCGGTCGTCTTCGTCGTCGTCCTCCTCATGCGGAGGATTGAGGAGGATACTCAGGAGTATGCGTGTGAACGTTCGGGGGACGCGTGTGCATACGTATTCCTTGTGAGCGTTCAGAGAGCTCGCCTGTATGACATTTGATCGCGATGATGCTGCAAATTCTTGCGCAACTCTTTCCTTTCACGCGATTCCCGCTCATGTCAGGAAGGGTTTGAAAAACGAGCGTTTCGCCGGAGACATCCTCGCCAAATCGTGAAATTCGGGATCGTATCTTAAGACGTAGTTTGCTAAACATGGGCGTTTCGCCTGAGACATTCTCGGAAAACAGGGATGTTGAAATCGTTGGTCTTATTCGCGGACCATCCCCAAAAGAGCGTTTCGCCTGAGACATCCTCGAACAAATGGGATGCGCCAAGCGCTCTTGTAAGGCATCTTTTCGGAGCGATCTCGGATGACCTCCAAGATGGCCCAAGCGTGTCGCTTAAGAATCAACGTCTCACTCGAGACATCCCCTAAACAAATCCTTCGAACGGGCCCTCGGAACCATCTGGTTTCCTCCTCCCCCTCCTTTTCCTCATCCTCCACCTCCCGGTCGCGGACAACAGCGACGACGACGAATTCCTGAGAAACCCTTGAGATTCTCTATGGAAGATTCCTTGAGACATGTGGGGAAAAAAGCGTGACGTGATCGGGGGGGGGAGAGGAGGGGCGGGGGCGATCACGAGCATTATCGCCCAGCCGGAAAAAAACAAGAACAGGCTACTGTCAGCGCGAGTACTCTCGTTGCTGAACGCTGCGGCAGCGTGCGAGGCGTGCCTGTGATCTGTCGTCTTGTGGCGTTGCGTTGCCCTCCTTTGCGCACTCGAGAGCTCATCATTGCGCTCGTAGAGGAGGCAAGACAAGGATACTCTTGTCCAGATAACGACAATCCAATACGTAGAAAAGCCGCGCAAACCATATGACTTTGCGATTGCTAGTTGGCATGTTCACCATTGGCTCTCTAATTGAACTGCGCTGCTTGCTCTTGACGTGGCTCTATGCTGATACTGGCACGTCAGCACTAAGATGTTATATGTTGTCATGCGTTGACATGTGTCTTCACATTGGCCGCATCTCCAGCTTGAAACGAACAGCGAGCGAGAGCGCGACTCGAAAATATCAAGAACTCAACGGGAGCCAGGCCTCGACACGGTCACAGGAGCCAAGGACGGCAACTCGACAGGGTTAAGAGATCAGCGAGGATAGCTCGATAAGGTCTTGGGCTCAACAAGCTCCTGGGGCTCGACGCAGCGGGCAGATCAATCAGCGTCGAATCGGGAAATCGGGACGACTCAATGGGCGTCGGAGCGGCCGGCATAGGCACGGTATCGAAAACGAATCGGATCGGCTACGCCAAGGCCAAGATAAACAACAACACCATGCAAACAACGGGCCCCATCGAATCGTCGGAATATCGGAGTCGGATCGAAACTTACAGGAAGAAATCAAGCTAAGGTCCTGGGTTCGACGAGCTTCAAAGGATCGACGCAAGGGGGAGCTCCGCTGGCTTGAACGAAGAGTATCGGCCGCTGCGCATGCTTGCCCTGAACAGTGCCAGAGAGCACGGCGGAGATGAGGAACGGATCAGCGCGTGGTTGGGGGAGGGGAAGTCCGCGCAGATGTCTCGGTTTGGGCGCCGGGCACCCCCGTGGCGGCGCCTCCAGCGACCGCGAGCGAAGGGGGGGCGGACAAGGCACTCACGCGGCGGTTCCGAAGTCGCCCTTCGAATACTCGCCCACGTCGCCGAACTTCCCCTGGCGGCTCGACCGTCGGGAAGGGTAAGTTGTATCAGTGACACGCGTGTCGTCCTTCCCGCTGCGCGTGGTGCTCATTCGTTCCTGCTTGCTACAGACAGCCTTGCACTTGCTCAAAAGCAGCACGCGGATAGGAGTCCTTCGACCAGCGTGGCACTGATACTGCACTTGTTCGCCAAAACTGGGCGCTCGCGGCCGCAACGTGCACCCGCCTTTGGTGGCAACTCATGGGAGCCGCCCATACCATCGTGTCGGCTCTTTCGAATCGACGCTAATCGATGCTACTCGACGCTACGTTGGCGCTAAATCTTCGATTGCCAGACGCTGATCGACGCGAAGGCAATCTCGAGACGGAATTGCGAGGGCACACGAGGCTCCCATGATTTGCTGCCGCGCTCCCCCAAGGGGGGGATCCCAGATCTGCATGGTGACGGACTGTGCGGTGTGCGCGGTTTCCTCCGGGGCCGTAGGCGACCCGAGGAGGAGGAGGAGGAGAAGGAGGAGGAGCAGGAGGAGGAGCAGGAGGAGGAGGAGGAGGACGGAGGAGGAGGAGCTTGATATTAGTGGCTTAGGGGCGCCTGAACCCCGTTGGTGGGTCCAGTTTCCTGGGGCACCACCCTGAAGGGCACGGTGGCCCGATGTAGGGCATGGTCTGGGGCCATCTGGGTCCATACCGCATGGGTTGTGCCAACGAATCGTGATGGCCCAAGCATCGTGGCCAAGGTACTACGGCTCCAGTGCGGAAATCCATCTTGGTACCTGCCAAGGCCGCGCGAGCTCGTTGGCACCATCCTTGCTACCAGAGCCCCTCGGCAGTGCGGGGGCGCACCCAACCACTGAGGGTCCGAAGATGCAGGGTGGAGGAGGATCTTGCTTCGAGGGCTGCACGAGAGTCCCGAACCCATGTTCATTGAGCCTTCCCGATCCGAGCCTAAGGCAAAACGCCCCCCAGTCCTCGGTGGCCAGGACAGGGGCCAATCCTAAACGGCTCTTGTTTACACCATTCGGAGTTCACCCAGACGCGTGTTCACCTTTACCATGGTGGACATGCAACGACCCTGGCAGTGGTATCAGTTGTCAATGCGCATGCTTCGCTCGCCGATTCACGGCGTATTTTTTTTGTCACGAAACTCGGCTCTCAATGCTCGTGACATTACACAACTTGCCTCCAGGACCGCTGGCCTTGCCGCCAGACAGTGTCCTGGAGGTATCTACCTCCTTCGCAGGCACGTGGAATACAGCGAGGCCGTGCCATGGAGAGACAGGCGCTACGGAGGAGGAGGAGGTGGAGGAGGGGGAGGGGAAAGAGGTGATGGAGGAGGAGGAGGAGGAGGCGGAGGAGGAGAGGGAGGAGGAGGAGGAGGAGGAGGAGGAGGAGGAGGAGGAGGAGGAGGAGGAGGAGGAGGAGGAGGAGGAGGAGGAGGAGGAGGAGGAGGAGGAGGAGAGAGGACGGGTCGCCTAAGCCCTTCGGAGAAACCCTCCAGCTCCCATGATTTGCTACCGCGTTCTCCCAAGGGGGGATCCCAGATCTGCGTGGCGACAGACTGTGCGGTGACCACGAGCCCCCCCACAAGTCTCACCGCGAGGCCCAACGCCACACATTCCAACTAGGACCTCGGGAGGCCCAGCCGCCGGAGAAGTCCTCGGAGAACGACCCCAGTCTGGACGGTTTCCCCCAGGGCCGTAGGCGACCCGAGGAGGGGAGGGCGAGGAGGAGGAGGAGGAGGAGGAGGAGGAGGAGGAGGGGGAGGAGGAGGAGGAGGAGGAGGAGGAGGAGGAGGAGGAGGAGGAGGGGAGGAGGAGGAGAGGAGGAGGAGGAGGAGGAGGAGGAGGGAGGAGGAGGACGAGGAGGAGGAGGAGGAGGAGGGGGAGAGGAGGAGGACGGGTCGCCTAAGCCCTTCGGAGAAACCCTCCACCCCAGTCCCCTGACCGTGCGGTCTGCGGCCACGGGGGCCCACTCGTGGCGGAGGGCTCGAAATCCAAGTTGGATCGAGTTCCCCCTCCTTTGGACCCCTCTTGGGCTGTCTTGGGCGCCTCTTGGACAATGGGGCTCTGCTTAGCCGTGCTGGGGCCTTCTTGGTGGCCTCTCAGGCCGTCTTGGGGGGATCTTTGGGAGCTTCTTGGGCCGTCCTGGACACTGTAAAGACATCCGAAGCGAATATGCTGAACATGCGCGCTTTCCGTAAGGGATATGGCAATTCTGGCCTCCTGGGGCCCTCTCGGGGCTACATCTTGCAAATTTCTCTGGGCGTTTTGGAAGCCTCTTGGGCCGCTTTGAAGAAATCTACGGCCGTCGTCGACGCTGTTGTGCTGCTCTGGTCGCTTTTGCGCTCCCTCCAAAACAGTTGTGAGCCGCCGGAGGGGGGCCCCAGAGGCCCCGAAGGGAATAAAAAAGGTCATGTGCCGAAAGAGAGGATAACTCTGGGAGGGTGTTCCGACCCGGGCCCAGGGCCTCCGGCACCCGACCCGCCCTCGCAGGTTTTCTTGCATGAGGGCCGGGGGGGTGGCGAGGCCTGAAAGGACATCTGAGCTTCAGGCAAGTCGGGGCTCACTCGCACGCCTTGTCGGCCTAGCGCAATTTGAAGTGTCGGCGGAGGGGGTGGAAACGCGGAACAAGTACACTTGCCTGGCAAAAGGGGGTCCAGCTGAAAGGGGGTGGTGCACTAGACTTGTGGCAATCGTGCTGCAAATGTGTTGCGCCAGAGAATTGTATTGCATTGTATTGCAACTAATGATTTGCGCGCGGGAGCCCAGCAACACACTTGCGCCCCGGACATATATACTCCACACCCCAGATCACCTGCAACCCCACAGGTCGATTGCACCAGATCTATGGCATCACCCCCTCCTCGCTGGACCCTCCTCCAGGCCCACCATAACATCTGCAGAACAGCTGGCCTCGCGCTCTCCTCTCCTCTCGATCCCCAGGGGGGCCTTCCCCTTGGCGACGCTGCTGTACGTCTCGCCGGCGGCCCACGTCGGACACGCGCAGTCCGGGAACTTGCTCTGGATGTCCTCCGCGGCGCGAGGGCGAGCGCGAGGACGACGGTCGATGCTCTGCTGTGCGGGGGGGGGGCGGCCACGCCTCCACCCAAGACAATTTGGGAGATTAGCAGGTGATGTTCCCAGGGGCACGGCCGCTGATCATCAAAACAGAACGGTTCTTGATTTTACAAACGAGGGAACAAAACAACCACTCCAGGAAGGGGGTCGGAAAAATGACATACGGCATCCCCTTTTCCAAACTACGTTTAGAATTTCGCCCAAGATGGGCGGTTTCGTCGGTTCGGCCGGAGACATCCCGCGAAAAATGGTCCACGGTACCCCCGCCCCAAAATGTGTAATTTTGGGGGCGCATTTTTTGTAGCCGTGCCCCCAAGAGTATACTTCCTGAGAGATGCGAAACCAAACTAAGGTGCCATTGAGCCGACTTCGCCCATAGTAGGACCATCATTGAGCCAGGTTAGGCGGGATCATGCCGGAGTGGGCCTGTGCTCGACCATGGATATGCCAGCGCCGATGCTGAGCTTGATCTCCTGGGAGCTGCATCCGAACCTCCACCCTCAAACATCCCTCTCGCATCGCCCAACTTCGCTCTTTCACTCCTTCTCCTCTTCCTCCTCCTCCTCCTCCTCCTCCTCCTCCTCCTCTCCTCCTTCCTCCTTTTCACTTCCTCCTCCCCGACCCCCGATGCCGCGATTTGTCTCACAATGTCTCCTGTTTTGTCCTGAGTGCTTGTGCTGACGGTCAGGGGGCCCGGTGCCCCCCCCGCCAAGGGGCCGAAAGCAGTCCAGAACCACCCGTCGTGCTTTGACACGGCGCGAGGGGTCTGGGTCCACCGCTCCTGCCAGGGAGGCCATTAACTGGTCAAACAAGTTGTTGCTTAGACTCCAGGGTTCGCTTCTGGAAACGAGAAGGAAGGTGGGGGGGCGTGGCGAGGCCCGATCCACGCAGGTCGGCACTCGTTTACACGCCGTTTCGGCCCAGCGCTGGTTGAAAAGACGGCGGACGGGAGGGGAGGGCATGCAAGCAAACTTGCTTGAGTTCACCGTGGAACGCTCTCGAGGGCTCTGTTCTGTTCTGTTCTGGTGGTGTGAAGGCCCCACCGAGGGGATCACCGCTGCAAATCACTAACTTCTCTCCGAATCTCCTGAGGCACGCCCAGCGATTCGCTGGCTAAGCAGTCCCAGACGCGCATTTTGTTTGTTTGTTTGTTTTTGTTTTTTCTCCCGCGGGCAACCTAGACTGAAGCCAGCAGCTATTAAGCCAGCGGCGACTGGTACCAGGCGAATACTGTCAATCTCAAGTCCAACCAACTACAATCACAAACACAAGCGTACTTGTACGACCGCGTAATTTTAAGATATGCCACTGCGGTGGAGGCGTTCTTGGGACTGGCACCAAGCCCGGCACTTCAGACTGGGCTCAACTGCGGCCGTGTGGTCGGCCAAGCACAGAACCCCGCCCACAGGATGGCTTGCAAATTTCAGGTTGTGGACGAAAAGGTTCAGGTAGACGATGCCACTCTTAGTGTGGCCCTGCACCACCTTCAGCTCCACCTGGCCGTATCGCAGCCAACGCCGGGACTCCTTTTTAATGACATGGCTGGCGCTGAAGGCGCGGCCCTGGGAGCCGACCCATCCTCCCGTCAGGTTCACCGCCTGGAAGTACACATCAGCGCACGCCAAGCCCATCTGTCGCGCCTCCGCACCGACGCTTCGCAGGGCGGCCCCCTGTGCACCCTGGGGAACCCGCACCAGCGTGTGCCGTCCCTCCTTGCGGAGGTCGAAGCGCTGCCCGAACACGTTGGCGAGGTGAGGGTCCCCAGTCGCCTGCGCCGACCCACCAGCGGCCCCGGCGGCCGGCCCCGAGGACGACGTGGGGCTAGGAGTCGGGCTGGGTGTCGGGTTGGGCGTTGTGGGAGGCCTGCAAATTGGCACCGACACCAGCAAAGGGGGCTGCCTCCACAGGGGGAAGATGATTCTCGATTTCGGTGTTGGTGGTAATATTTCGGTCATCTCGGAAGCCAGAATACTACCACCATCACCGAGATCGGGATCTTCTTTCCTCGGTGGAGGTACACCGCCGACGTTGGTGTTGGTGTCAACCTCTAGGCCTGCGACGTTGGGTTCGGCGTCGGGTTAGGAGTCGGGCTGTTCAACGTCGGACACGCCACGCTTCCTGGAACCGTCGCTGGGTACAGATTGGCTCAAAGAGGCCCCCAGGGTCCGAAGATCTACACGAACTGGCGAACACCTGGGCGACGGCCAAAAACGGGTCTTACGCGAGACGGCGTGGCGACCTTACGCGGTGGCTGAAGCGGGCCGCCCGCGCGGCACGCCACATTTGAAGCGAGGACGCTTGCGCGCGACCTTACGCGGGCAGCTGACGCGCCAATGTCGGCGCAGACGACCCCGTCTTCTTGCGTCGCTCACCTGGGAAGACTTGCAAAACACCTCCGTCCCTTCCCCATCCCTTCGGCGGTGCAGAAACCTCCCTTTAGTAAACCTCCCCTTAGTGAAAACGGCCTGGGACCGACACCGACGGACATGGACCCGCAAAAATGACGGCCGCGATGCCCTCTCGCGAACCGAAAACGGCCAATTCGCTAATCGACGTGTCAGGGTAGGAGGTCTATCAACCTCCGATCCCTCTCTACTGGGGGTGCCATGCGCCCACTCCTGGGCCTCGGCAGGCTCGCAGCAGGCGAGGGGGGAGGCGGAGAGCTCCAGGAAGGCTCCCCTGGGAGGCCTTCGTGGGAGCGATTGAGCTTGGCGCCTGCACCCTGCACACACAAAAGCACGTCCCCCAAACACGTTGCTGGACGACTGCCTCTGCTTTCCACCTCTCTGGTCTAGGGCCGAAGACACGGCAACAGGAGGCGAGCCCTGGGCTGGACAGCCCACACGGGAAACCCCAGAGGCCCGCTTCCTCCGGTGAGGGTGGACGTTAGGAGGGGGGACCAGCTCAGGGGCAACGTCGAGCCGGAATCGACGATCCCTCGCCGACAGATCGGAGATGGGCTCCCCGCTGCCGGAACCGACTGTTCCCGGGCGGGGTGGGCTATCAGGTCCCTATCGGCGATCCGTGGTCGAATGGGCGATGGGGGGTCGGCGCGTCCAGCTCCCCGCTGCGGACAGATCGGAGATCGAGCCTTAATCGACGATCCATCGCCGACAGATCGGAGATGGGCTCCCCGCTGCCGGAACCGACTGTTCCCGGGCGGGGTGGGCTGATCAGGTCCCTCTCGGCGCTCCGCGGTCGAATGGGCGCTGGGGGGTCGGCGCGTCCCCCCAGGAGCCATGGAGGAGGAGGAGGAGGAGGAGGAGGAGGAGGAGGAGGAGGAGGAGGAGGAAGGAGGAGAAGGAGGTCGAGGAGGAGGAGGACGAGGAGGAGGAGGAGGAGGATGAGAAGGAGGGTCCAGAACAGGGCCTCTCGCCTCCAATCATGCTGATCACTGTTCTCCCGCTGCTCCCTCCGCCGCGCGCTCCTGGCAGGTCTTGCCGCACCAGTCCAGCTCGCAGTCTGGGGGGGGCCGAACGGGTGAGATGGCAGCGCGGCGCGCGCACTGCCTCCGTAGGGGTGGTCGTTCTAGGGATTTCCTGGAGCCACTCGCTCTGCTCATGCGCCGATGCTGCGTCGAACGTTCGTTGACTCGAATCGTTATGTGAGTCGGACTTCGGCCGAGCGAGAAGCGAACTGGAATCAAACTACGATCGAACAGATCTGCTAGGTGGGCCTCAGACATGTCCTGAAGGAACCACAAACGGCAGAAATTCACCGACCCAATGGGCCAGAGGCGTGCTAAGACCTCCAGTACTTGGTTCACATGATAATTTAATTCGCGCGCGCGGGGGCTCCCCTGGTGGCTCCCAGACGAGAAATACCCCAACCGACTCCCGGCAATGTCCCGGCCAGGTCCGCTCAAGGATGCCGCAACTCCCGGGGGCGTCCCTCGTCCCGGGGGGTGGGGTGGGGGTTCGGGATCTGGCTGATGAGTCCTCCTACGATCGTTGCTCTGCCGCCGCATTTTCAGGGAACTCGTCTTCGTTCAACTCGTGCCCCCACTCCTGGAAGCTGCCTTCTCACCATGGATTAGATTTGTGGATGCTATGACACTGGACACTTTAACAGTCCTACCATTGAATTAAAGATGTGTTTCAAATTTGTAACACATGTTCTAGCAATGCTCCAATCATGTTGCTCTATAGATTTAAAACAGGTTTAAAGCATCCTCCAGACATCTGGAAATCATTTGGCAGCACGCTTCCTCTCCATTATCAGAGCGTGAATTACCTCCCCCGCTTTCGCTTCCAGGCAAAACCAAGCCATACCACGCGCCTCCTCGTCAAGCGGCCTGACCAGTACAGGCCGCAATTTGGCATCGTTTGGTATCTCTTGGAAGCGAGGGTGGTCAAAAGCGAGGTAGGTTTGTTTTCCCCCGACATTAGAAGCGACCTCCCAAAAGACCAGACCCTCCCTCCGGAGGTCGAAACCTGCCCTCAGACCCCCTGGCCGAACTCACGAGGGGAGCCCGGCCGTGGCCACGAGGAGCCCCCCCCCCCCCCCCCAACCCAGAGACCCAAAAGGAGCGAAAAAACGCACAAGACCTCGATCCTGGAGCCTCGATGCCGACACCTCGATCCTGCCACGTCGATCCTGGAACCTCGACCCTGCCACGTCGATCCTGGAACCTCGACCCTGCGACCTCGATCCTGCGACCTCGATGCTGCCACCACAATGCTGCAACCCCGATGCTTGGACGCCCGAGTTATCCTGGGTAACTCGGGTCCGGGGTAACTCGGGTTTGGGTTCCCGAAACACGAACCCGAGTTAACCCTGACCCGAGTTACCCCTGATGATTCGGGGCTCTGGACGCCCGAATTATCCGGGGTAACTCGGGTCCGGGATAACTCGGGTTCGGATTCCCGAAAAACGAACCCGAGTTAGCCCTGACCCGAGTTACCCCTAATGATTCGGGGCTCTGAGATGCTGCAACCCCGATGCCGGAACCGTCGGGCGAGGGGCGGCGGCTCCCCCCGGGACCGGCCTCCGGCTCCCGAGCCGCTGCTTTCTTGCCGGCTGCGGGGGCCCGGGCCCCAGGCGAGCTCTGGGCCTGAGACATAGATGTGAGTCGGGCCTGTCCCTCTACAGGAGGAATATCCCCAAAACAGTAAAAAATAGTCTGGGGACTGCTTCTTGGCGTTTTCAAGCATTCTGGGAGTATGTTTTTGAATCTGCTTTTTTGTTATTAAAAAATATGCCAAAATCCCCCTGTAGGGGGACGCGCCCGACCTAAACATAGGTGGCGGACACGCATGCGCCACCGATGGAGCACCAGCGCGCGAAAGAGAACTTCCAACACGTGCTTCGATTTCGGCCACGAGCAAAAATGAGAGCCCACTTGCGCGAGCGCGGGACCGCGGAAGTCCTTCTGCCCTCGCTGGCAAGCCAGACGCGGAGCGCAAGAGCTCCAGGCCTCGGACATAGATAGCGAACACTAGCGTTAGGTCGGGCATGTCTCTCTACAGGCGGATGTTCGACGAAAACTCAACACTACTCCAACAATATTCAAACATGATCAAGAAATACTCCAAACATCGTCCCCAGGCTAACTTTTTGGGGGGACTATTTTCTTCATATTCCCCCTGTAGAGGGACAGGCCCGACTTACCACTAGCGAACACGCATGCCGTATCCAGGAACCCGCAGGGATCCTCTAGATGTTTCGGGCATCTCGGGGACGTCGTCAATCTTCAGGACCCGTCGGGAACCTGCGGGACTTGTCTGGAATCTACAGGAACTGTCCGAAACCCTCAGGCATCCTCGGTCGTCCTCTGGGATCTGCAGGGAGGGGCATGGAGCACGGGGATGCCCCGGCGCTGGCATGGGGCACGCATGCTACAGGCCTCGGACGAAGATAGCGAACACGCAAGCCACATTCATCGGTCAACGCCTCCCCCTGATGTTCGGAGTTGGCGGTGGGTCAGATGGGTTGCACTTCGACCGCGGTCTTCCCCGCGCGTGCCAACTTTCAGTTTGGGGGAACGGGGGAGTGTCCACAAATTGTTTCCCCCTACCGTCTGGGAGGCCGAAAACGGCGAAAAGCGTCCGCCTTGATTGTGTGAAGACGCCGGGTGTCGGGGATCCTGGGAACTCGATGCTGCAACCTCGGGGAAGGCAGTGAGGGGAACGTCAGGAGGGGGACCGGCTCATGGGGGGGGACATCGACCTGGCACCGGCGATGCATCGCCGATAGATCAGCGGGCCCCCGATAGCGAGACCTCACGTTCCTGGGAGGGGTCGGCTATTAGGCCCGCATCGGCGATAAATGGGTGATTAGGTGTCGTTGCGTTCCCCCCTGAGCCTATGCCCCATAACGTCTGGAATGGGCCAAACGTACCCCCAGGGTTAGATCGGGCATGTCCTCCTACAGGGGGATTTTGGACGAAAAATGAAACATTGCCAAAACATGCTCAACCAAAAACCAAGAGCAGACAAGAAACATCGTCCCCCGACTATTTTCTGACCGTTGTTGAAGAATATCCCTCCTGTAGAAAGACAGGCCCGACGTGACCCCAGGACAGCGTCCCCCCCGTGAGGCGTCGCCGCGGCCGCGGCTCCAGCCACGGCGGGTGCCGAAACGCAGCCGCCTGGGCGCCCCGATGTGGGCCCCGAGGCCCCCATCTCCTGGGGTGCGTCGGCTCCGGGGCACCCCTGGCCTCCCCCGAAGGGGTCCCAGGAAGCCCCAAAAGGGCCCATATGGGGCCCCAGGAGGATGGGGGAGGAGGAGGAGGAGGAGGAGGAGGAGGAGGAGGAGGAGGAGGAGGAGGAGGAGGAGGGGGAGGAGGAGGAGGAGAAGGAGGAAGAGGCGGGGGGGAATTATTCGTGTCGCCTGGCTGCCGGCCACTGACTCGGGCTCCGTGCGGCCGCGCGGGACGACCCCGGCACCTCGGGAACGCTCGCGAGGAGGCGCGGTGGATGGGAACCACCCCCCCGGGGCCCCGAAGCCAACAGAAGAACAACTTCCGATCTCCAGAAAAAGCCCTCCGTGCGCCCCCCCCCGACACCCGAGCGCATCCTGGGGCCCCTGGCGTTGCCCGCGACATGGAAGAACAACACACTAGCTACATGAGCATCGACGTTCGGAGGTTCGTGCGGATGTCTTGAATCGGCGCTGGAGGGACGGCGCCGGAACAGCTAGAACCGTCCACAAGACTTGACTCTAGAGGAGCACACCCCCGCTAAAATTGCCTTTGGCAGGCCAGGCGGTCTCGAGCTCCCCGTCCCCCCCTGTTGGACTCTTCTGCGGGCCTGTCTTACCGCTACCAGAACACTTGAGCAAAAGGCGAACTATCGGGGACACCTAACTTGGCCGAGAACTCTCGCTGCGTCCCCATCTGCTGAGCGTATCCTGGGGCCCGCTGGCGTTGCCCCTGTCACTGCACCGACCTTGCAGACGTGCTGCAGCGGATTTTTGCGTGGACATCTGTCAATTCAAAACCCCTACACAGCGAGTGAAAAACGAAGCGAACTTCGCGTGGATGTTTTTCTACTCTTCTTCCTGGCCAAGAACAATCCGCACGAAACTCACCTCGAAATCCGGAACGAAATTATCCATGGGCGAACAACGACATATGTACATGTACGCCCTCCGCGGTCTTGCCTGCACGAACGTCCGCGTGAACACGCACTCCAGGGGAAACTAACCGAGTACGTGTACATATGTTGCTGGCCTCTGAATCCAGGACACTCTGGGCCCATCCTATCGTTTTCCGATCGAAATCCGCTCTGCAATGCTGGCGCCATGACCCCCTGGCAGGGGGCTCTGCCGCCCGTGCAGGCGTGGGACTCGCACATCAGGACGTTGAACCGCTCCTCGCGCGGGCGGCTGTGAGGACCCGCGGTGCTGGCGGGCGGGGGCGGCGTCGCCGCGGCCCGCTTCCCTCCACCCCAATCACTGCCGGGGGTGAGGGCAGCAGTCCACATCGAGTCCTCGGTCATTGATCCTCGAGCCTCGATCCTCGCATCTTGGTCGTTGCGGAACGGTGTTGGCTGCATCGTCGGGCTGCGTCAGGCTGCAGCTAGCTCCCGAGGTGATACTGCAACCGCTCGAGAATTGGGCGGCCGGTGAGCTTACGTCAAAGTGCACTCAGTCTACTACCGCAGTACGTAGCTTTACCTCCACCTCCTACACCTCCTCATCCGCCTCCTCCTCCTCCTCCTCCTTCTCCCCGAAATCTGGAGGTCTCTGGAGGCCCGCTGGCGGAAGCCTCCGGAGACCAAAGAGGAGCCAGCGACGCTCCAGAGCCTCGGCCCTCGAACCTGGCTCTGAGAAGGCAGGAAGCCGCTCGCCTTCTTGGAAGCCGCCTGGTTAGAAGGCCGCCCCCCTCGAGTCACCCCCTTGTGCGCGCCGCCAGGAAAGGTCCCAGAAACTCCCGACCCTTGCCTGGGGCCACTTTTTCATCCCGAGTCGTTTTTTGACGGTCCTGGGGCTTAGCGAGGGCCCCACGAGGTTGCAACTTGCGAACCACCCCGGGTTTTGTTGTTCAGGACGTTTGCGCAACGAGAGGATGTCGGGGTTCGCCGATGCCTCGCCGATGGCGGAGGGAGTGCGGTGCGACCTGCGCGCCCAGATCCGCCGCCGTGCTTTGTGCACGCTGAGGTGTGGTAGAATGCCAAGGGATTACTGGCAGGGTAGCTGCAATTCTCTGAGGGACACCCCCTCTCGAAGTGCATCCCTGCGTGCATCCCTCGCCCTTCCCGAGGCCAGACTCC